CTGTACCAGTTTTTCATGGAGAACAACCTTCAGAGCACTTTCACAGAGACTGTCAGTCTTCTCAGGATCCTCATCACCACACCCCTGACAACAGCTGAATCTGAGAGGTGCTTCTCTACTTTGAAGAGGATTAAGACCTTCCTGAGAAACACCATGTCACATGATCGCCTCAATGCTCTGGCTATGCTCTCCATGGAGAAGAAGCTTGTCAGGGACATTCCTGACTTTAATAAGAAGGTCATTGAGAGGTTTGCCACTCAGAAGGAGAGAAGAGCAACATTCCTGTCAAAAAAACATCCTCTTTTTCTCACCACAGTATTGCTAATGCCATTGTTTTTAAGTTGTTGTATAATCCCCGGGTGCCGTTCATAATGGCCATGGTTCATCCTAACACTAGGATGGGTCAAATGCAGAGAAACCGTTTTGTTACATAGTACCTTTATTGAGTAGGTGTAACTGTATTAAGGGTTAAACACATAACTTTATAACTTAGGGTTTAATGTAATTGTAAAACCATTGGGCCACTGAAAAGACACAATAGCAACTCAGGAGGGAGCCAGTCTAGATTTCCTTTTGAGGGCCACCAGCTGCAGAGAGTTAACTAATTAAAGGGGCGTGGCCCCACATCTGTGAGAACTCAGCAATCAGGTGTCCATTTTAGGTAGCACTTTCCTGGAGCGTCAGCTTCAGACAGACGAAGACTGACAAAGATAATAGAGTCCTGCTGGAGTAAGGCTGACAAAGACATTAGAGTCCTGCGGGAGTCACGAGGGTGGCAAAGAGGAGGCAGATCCTACTTTGATTGAGCTAAGTATCGCTGGTGTTTTATTTTATTTGGTTGTTTAGCCCCTCATGCTATAATCATGTGTATTTTCTCCATTCCTGTTCATGTGTCCTCTCGCAATTATCACTGGCCCCGTGTATCTCGTAATCGATATAACCGGCCTGCTCTCGTCTATCCCACATGCTCCACTGACATCCAACATCTAGTTTCAGGCGGTCTGTGGAACTGCCAGTCAGCTGTTCCTAAGGCTGACTTCATCTCTGGCTACGCTTCCCTGCAGTCTCTGGATTTCCTTGCTCTCACTGAGATGTGGATTACTCCATCCAACACATCCACCCCAGCAGCTCTCTCCACAGCATATTCCTTCTCCCATACACCCAGACCCACTGGCAGAGGAGGTGGCACTGGTCTCCTGCTCTCTCCCAAATGGAGCTGTTCCCTCTTCAAGCTACCTAACTTCACTCCTTCCACCTTTGAATTCCATGCCGTCACAGTAACCCATCCTATACAATTAACCATTGTTGTTCTCTACCGTCCACCAGGCGCCTTTGGGGACTTCTTGGAGGAATTAGATAATCTCCTCTCACACATCCCTGAAACTGGCCCTCCCGCTGTACTTCTCGGAGACTTCAACCTCCAGACAGGGAAGATAGACAAACTAACATCTCTGTTAACCGCCTTTGCTTTCTCACTGTCTCCTTCCCCACCAACTCATAAAGCTGGCAATGTCCTTGATCTCATATTCTCAAGGAACTGCACTACTTCTACCCTCTCTGTAAACCCACTCCACACATCCGATCACTTCTTCATTTCATTCTCTCTACCCCTTTCCAAACATAACAAACTAATCTCTTCTCATCCTGCACCTGTCCTGACCCTCCTTTCACCCACACACTGACCTCCTTTTCCCCTCTTTCTCCAAGTGAGGTTCTTACCTTCATTACCTCTGCCCGCCCTACCATCTGTCCTCTGGACCCTATCCCTTCAAACCTCCTTCAGACTATCGCTCCTGATATTCTACCGTTTCTCACCCATTTCATCAACACTTCTCTAACTTCTGGTCACTTTCCAAACAGTCTCAAGGAGGAAAGAGTAAACCCTCTCCTAAAGAAACCCACTCTCAACCCGTCTGTTATAAACTACAGGCCTGTCTCTCTCCTCCCGTTCCTGTCTAAAACACTTGAACGCGCTGTCTTTAAACAACTCTCCTGTTATCTCCATCAGAACAACCTTCTGGATCCGCACCAGTCTGGTTTCAAGGCAGGTCACTCCACAGAAACTGCCCTCCTTGCTGTCACTGAGAAACTGCACACTACTAAAGCAGCCTCCCTCTCCTCTGTTATCATCCTTCTGGACCTGTCTGCTGCATTCGACATGGTGAATCATCAGATCCTCCTTCGCACTCTCCAAGAACTTGGAGTTTCAGGCTCTGCACTTTCCCTCATCGCCTCATACCTGAAAGACCGCACCTACAGGGTTACTTGGAGAGGGTCGGAGTCCGACCCTTGTCAATTAACTACAGGGGTCCCTCAGGGCTCTGTTCTTGGTCCCCTCCTCTTCTCCTTGTACACAAACTCGCTCGGATCTGTCATTAGCCCGCATGGTTTTTCATACCACTGCTACGCTGACGACACCCAATTAATTCTGTCCTTTCCCCGCTCAGAGACCCAGGTCGTCGCACGCATCTCTGCTTGTCTAGCTGACATCTCTCAGTGGATGTCTGCTCATCACCTCAAGCTCAACCTTGACAAGACTGAACTGCTTTTCCTTCCGGGAAAAGATTGTCCCACTCTTGACCTAACAATCAACATCGGCACCTCTATTGTTTCCCCGACTCAGACTGCAAGGAATCTGGGTGTGATCCTAGATAACAACCTGTCCTTCACTGCAAACATAGCTGCTACAACCCGCTGCTGCAGATACACGCTTTACAACATCAGGAGGATACGTCCCTAGCTGACCCAGAAAGCAACGCAGGTTCTGGTCCAGGCTCTCGTCATCTCACGCCTAGACTACTGCAACTCCCTCCTGGCTGGTCTACCTGCATGTGCCATCCGACCTCTGCAGCTCATCCAGAATGCAGCGGCTCGTCTGGTCTTCAACCTTCCTAAATTCTCCCACACCACGCCGCTCCTCCGCTCCCTCCACTGGCTTCCGGTAACTGCTAGAATCCACTTCAAGACAATGGTACTTGCGTACCATGCTGCAAATGGATCTGGCCCTTCCTACATCCAGGACATGGTTAAACCGTACACCCCAGCACGTGCACTCCGCTCTGCATCAACCAAACGGCTCGCTGCACCCTCGCTGCGAAGGGGACCCAAGTTCCCATCAGCAAAAACACGTGGGTTTGCTATCCTGGCTCCAAAATGGTGGAATGAGCTCCCCATTGACATCAGGACAGCAGATAGCTTACACACCTTCCGGCGCAGACTGAAAACTCATCTCTTTCGACTCCACTTCGAGCAATAGAACTATTAACAAAGCAGTTATATACTAATAAAGGACTGGCTTACCTAAAGCCAGTTGAGTAGCACTTGAAATGTTTTTGCTCTATGAAACCTGATGTACTTATATGATTCTGTTTTCATCAAGTTTGTATTTTGTTGGTCGAACGCACTTATTGTAAGTCGCTTTGGATAAAAGCGTCAGCTAAATGCAATGTAATGTAATGTACTGTACGTAATGACAATAAGTTGAATCTTCAATCTTCTTCAATAGTCCTCAGTCTCAAATGCTTAAATTGTTTATGGAGCCATTACAATTTAAGACTGGTAAATTAACACGGAAAACTCCTGTTTATTTTTGCAATAAGTTATACTGGGATGTTTGCTGAAATTGATTGCATGTGGCACAGCCCGAAACAAATCTACCAGCCGCCCTCTGTATATATAACATGTATTAAGCAAATATAATTATTCAATATAGGCCTACTTGGTCCAAAAGTAAAACATACTAATTATGCAGAATGGCTTATTTCAGAATAATTTATGTGACATTATTGGTTTGTAATTATGAATGATCAATATCATATATAGACTTTTTTGTTTACTGTTATTTTTAAACTAACGTTTTTTTCATGTACAAATCTAAAATTAGAAAACCAGATGATTTATGATAAAGCTGGAAGAAAATGTGTGTGTGTGTGTCCTATAATCTCCCCCTACCAGTGTGTTTGAGCAGCTGAGTAAAATGGGAACCTGTAACAGTCATAAATCCTCCCAGTTTAGAGCTGACAGCTGCTGGGAGGCTTTTTCTGGTCCACCACCAGCCTCACATCCGTCCCAAACACAGTTAGTTGTTATTTAGTTTTGATGTTAAAGAATTAAACCCAGATTCACCCCCACTGCAGACTGTTTAGTTGGGATTAGTCTAGAAAAAGTTTATCAAATGCACAGTTTTGATGCTTTGAGCACCATACATACAATTTAATTGATATGTATTACATTTGAGCAAATCATGACTTTAATTAACCTCAAATAAATAGTCAGATATGCAAATGGTTTACATTTGTAAACAAGAGTTACTAGAGCTAAATGTACTGAATGGATTTTTATTACTGTGTGTGCAGGAGTACATCTGACACACAGACAGATTAAAGGAGCAGTCAGCTGTTACAGACTACAGCTGAGCTGACTCAGAGGAAACCAAGGACATCAGAGAAATGCCTTTAGTTTAGCAAACTGAGCATTCATTGTCTCTGTAGAAGATCATGTGTTTATATTATTTTCAAATATCACAGGCATGTTCTTTATACTTTGTCTCCTGATAGATCAATTACTTACAGTCCTCTGTCTGACTTCGTTCTGAATGCATTTCGACTACTTTTTTTTTTAAACAAAAGGAAATAGTGCATTTGTTGAGGACTATTTTTTGCGGTGGATTAATACACAATGTTGTTACTGCAGTGAGCATTTGTGGCAGCAGGAAGGTGTATTTGGGAATCAGTCAAAATAAACTTCAGTGTGGTAATAAAGGAACATCTGGTCACCCTGGTTGGTAGGTCTTTGTGTGAGATGCATCCTTTAACCCAGAGAAGTTAAAATAAACATAACTCTTAAAAACGTAACTAAACATTTGAAGAGTCCCCACATGATCCCTCTAAAGATGCTTCCAGAAGGAAATTCCTGAAGCATTTGTTTTAGGCTCAGCTGCCACCATCGACCTCTCTGTCTGGCATTTAACAAACTTCTGAAGACAACTGCTACTGGTCCCAAACAGACACACTGAACCAACATCTATAAAGAGACCAGGCTGCTGAGGTATTTTCATTTACCTCTCTTTTCTTCTCCCGGCAACAGACAGGAATTAACTGCTGGCAGGATGGCAGAGTAAGTCCTGATCTATACTTTATGAATCTACAAAACTCACAGAATCACTGGTAATCATATTTGTTCTTCTGTCTTACTGTTTCTCTGAAGGAAAAAGGTATCAACGAGTCGGAAGAATCAGATCAAGGTAAAGTCGGATCAAGCTTTTGTTCTTTGTTTTCCAAATATTGTGAGGCAGTGTTTACAAATTGTAGGGATTGAACTGAAACACTATCACCATCATAAATACAATTTCAAATTAATCTACTGTAATTTGCAGTTTAATCAAGTGTTTTTATTTAGAAGGTTTCCTGTTTATTTTTGTACTAACTCTACCTTTTCTCAAAAAATATGAACAATTGACTGGGATGGCCTCCTTGGAGTTTTCTGATCTCAACCAAACTCCACCACTTTCTATTTTTAAACTCCATGACCTTTCCTCTTGTGTCACTCTCAGGATAACTAGTGACAATAGAGGAATCTAATCAGCAAACATTTTGATAATACATTCATAATTTATGTCATGTGTAACACAAAGTTGGCAAACATTTACTTGTTCCAGCTTGCCCTATACAATTATTTGCTGCTTTTCTCTGTTTTGCATGATTTTAAAGTTAAAATGTATATTAGATTTTGGACATTTCAACACACTATTATTGATAGGTTTTCATATTTTCTGATATTTTACTAAACAATTACATTACATTACATGTCACTTGTTAGACGCTTTTATCCAAAGCAACTTACATACTCAATACTGTGGGCAATCCCCACAGGAGCAATTTGGGGTGAAGTGTCTTGCCCAGGGACACGCTGACACAACGACATGCTGACTGCAGTGGGGTTTGAACCTGTGCTCCCCTGATCCGAACATCAATGCACAACCCACTGCGCCACACGCCTCCCTAATTCATGAACTATCAATTGATAAAAAAAAAGTGTAGAAGAAACAATAATCCTCAGATTAATTAAGATGACTGAGCATTATTGATACTTCAAATATCAGTTTTTTCATTATCATATATTTGTATTATTTCTTCTTTGTTTGACCAATATGTGAGTGAAGAAATGTAGAATAATTGTAACATCAATCTAACACAGTAACAACATTTAGATTAATAACACATGAGAAAGGTGGAAAAACATATATTCATGATTTTTAAAATGCACTTTTCCAAGACTTAACACAAACTTAACTTTAGAAAGTGCACCAGAATAAATAAAGTATTATTGACAGTCTGAAACATTGTTAGGGGGGTTTAACCTATTGAAGTGTAATGAACATTTCAGCCTCTGTTACCAGCACTAGAGGCTTTAATCCAGTTTATATCCATTATAGGGGTGTAACGGTTCACAGAAGTCACGGTTCGGTTCGTACCTCGGTTTGGAGGTCACGGTTCGGTACAACAAGAAAAAGCAAAAAAAAGTCCCAAATGCATTATTTCACACACAGTGACGTCACGAGCTACCCACAATGCAACGCGCGCCATATATATATAAATACGCCATTTTCCTGGAGGTGCTAATATCCTGGAGGTGCTAATATAAACAGATAGCTAACGTAGCCAGGCAGAGCGCACTAGGTTTTTTTTTTCTGAATTAACGACCGAAGAAATCGTTGCATGTCTTCGGATTACATCTCTGGACTTGAAGGGTGTGCTCTAGGTCGTTACCAGCGTAAACTAGAGCTGTGTGGGTTGTCCGATTGCCCTTACAGACTCTCGAAAGTGGCCTTCGGTCGATTTTGGCAGCATCTACGTCTATCTTCTGGAAACACCAGGTGAATACCCCACTTGTCACAATAATATTATCATGCCAATGCATATATGTGGTATTTTAGAGTTGACTATATTGATTAAGGCAATAGACTATGATATTCTGGTTGCACCTTGCGTGAAATGGCGGATACCGGAAGTACGTTGTCGCCCTCGGCCCAAAACCCGTATGTGTGTGTGAAAGAATAATTCCAGGTTTGTTGTTATTTGTGTTTGAACAGTAGTGCAAGTTTCAGTTTAAAAATAAAGAACTCTTTTTTGAATAATTAACTGTATTAAACAGTTAAAAACAAACCATACACAGTACACTCAGATGGCCATATTATCTATAATGGCTGATGTCAAACAAAAAGGTTTCATCAAGCTGTAAAACTAAAAAGAATGTCTTGAAAATATGACATCATAAATAATAAGAAAGTGTTTCAAGAGCGCAAAGTCGTTGAAAAACATATGCCAAAAGCTTCCGTTATTTATTTTGGTCTCACGGCGGGGATCAGCTGTTGAACTGCTGTTGTCTTTTGCCGGGCTCCGGTAATTGGCAAATCTGGGTGATGCCTTCTGATATGATTTAGCATGTTTGGCGTGTGTTACCATACAGGTATGCGGTATGCACCACTGTAGAACAACGGCGACACACCGTCCTCGTCCGATCCACCACTCGTACACTCTATCGTTATTGTAGTCCACAGGGAACCCGAAATGTTCCCACACAGCTGATTTAAAAGAAGCAGGTGGGTTCAAGCTCCTGTGTGTTATCTGAAATCGCCATACTAACTTTTCTTCTTCTTGTATTTTGTTCGTTTTGTTGTTGTGTTTCTTCTTGTTCTTCATTTGTTGTTTAAGGGCGGCTGGCAAACAGCTTTTAGGCGCAATACCGCCCCCTGGATTATATATAGTGTAGTGGATACTGCCCTGAATGACACTTTTTTCCCACTCATAAAAAAAGGCGTATTCGTCGTGTGACTGCGTGTGCCGAACCGTGACGGTACGGGACGAATACGGATACCGTTACACCCCTAATCCATTATGTGGCCAACAAATGTGTATTGTGTATTAAGTCAGTTAGAAAGCAGCTTATTATCCTATAATAAACACTGGATTGAGAGTTCCGGTCATCATGGTCATCCTCTCCTCCTCCTCTTCCTCTCAGAGCTTGATGCTCCAGATCAGTCAGACAATTCTGGAGGAGGAGGCGCGGGAGGCCAAGCGAGAGAAGATAAGACACATGGAGGAGAACTGTCCCTCCGTCTCCATCCCAGGAACCATGCCGGATCTCCAGGTAAAACTCAACATCACCTTTATGTTGAGTGGAGGCCCAGAAGAAACACAACAGACACGGGAGATGTTAGTCTTATCAGCTTTAAAAGGCCGGTTGATACTGCAGAGCCAAATGGGTTGGCACTTAGCACTTGAACACACATTAGGTTTTTATAAATACACTTTTTTGTAGCATTCAACAACAATTCCCATGTCTTTTAGTGCCGTTAGGGAAACAAAAATCCCATGGGAACTCCCACTGTTAAACCTTTTTTTTTAGAAACATACTCTACTATAATCCACTGGAGACATTTTTCACTTTTCCCAACACTTCTAATTTAAATATGTGAGAATCTCTATGGTCTCTCTTTACATTGTTCTTTTACTGTCCAGCTATTTTTGCCAGGAGAACATACATTTAGTAACTTGTCCAATATTCGCTATTAAGTATTACAGTGTAATAGCATTATATGTACCCAATAACATCTCTATACTACCTCATAGGTCTATATCATGCCTTTTTTTTCCTCAACCCTATTTTCTCTCTTTCTTGCTCTTTCTTTTTTTTCCTTTCTATTACAACAATCAGGAGCTCTGTCGGAAAATTCACAAGCAGATTGATTTGTTGGACGAGGAGCGATACGACATGGAGAACAAAGTGAATAAGGCCGACAAGGAGGTAGGTCGTTTTTTAACAAATGTTATTTTTTATTTAAAGTAGCTTCATTTCAAGAACCAATATCAGCTACACCATATTTTAAGTACCAGGGCTGATCATTTGAACCATATGTCAGGAGGCCACAATTGTTCACTCATCCCCAAATTCTAGATTTTTTAGATTTGTTCTTTTTTTCCACTCGGGTCATTCTCCACGGGAACCAGGGGCACCGCCAGGGATTTTGGGCCCCATGAAAATATATCATATGTTGCCCCACCACCAGGCCCAGGCCACGCCAACCAAGCACAATTGATGTAACCACACCTCCAGAACCCAACCGACTCATTTATGCTTTAAATAACTCTACCTATACAGGCTTGCATCTATCTTGTAGTCCAATACTAACTGCACAATATTTACTGACACTGAGCGGTGAACATACAGCGGTGCAAACGTGCAACATTCTTCTGCAGTAGAATTCACTATTTGATATAACACTAACATTCCTGACAATAGACCTCAATAGTCATCTTTTATGGTGTACATGACTTTTTAATAAAAATTTTGAATGGAACATTCAAAAATCTAAATAAATATAACTTAAATATAGATGACCTCTTAAATTAAAAAACAGTTATTACGAGCCCTGGCTCAGCCTTACTCACCAAGAGCCATGCAGCGCCTAGCCTTCTTACAGGCAAAGTCACTGATCAAGTCCTTGAAGTCCAGCGTTCTAGCTAACTGGCTTTCAATGAACAGCATGGCAAGACTGCAAAGCCTTATGGGGGGACAGGGCTGCTGAGCCTAAAGATGGATCTGTTGGTCCTGGCACCAGGGGGAGGGACAACTGATTTAGTATGAATAGCTGCTAAAAATGTACCTGCATTTATTAAATGTCAGCTAAAAGAGGAGTGAAATGAAAAACCTCAGCATTTTCTGTGAAGATATTAACAGTAGGCTACTTAATGTCAGCAAAAAATTACAATTATTATTTACAATGGACTACGCTTAGCTAACAGACTAATTTCCACCACTCATGGACCACACCCACCTTTTCTTTTGAAAAACTGGGTGACATACTGTCGCCCTTTAGTCCCTCTCTCTTGTCTTTCTCTCCTTTCTTTTCTTTCTTGAAAGCCTGACTTTGTTAGTGGTTGAGACATGGCACACACTAGCATCCCTCCTCACATGCTCTCACTCTGCTGCTAGAAAGTGCGGTGCCGCCCTATGGGTGCCGCACAGCGTTTGGAGGCAGGACCAAACCATTACATGTAAATAGAGGGGGGTGTACAGAGGCTTTGGATAATTAACTTTTGGAAGAAAATAAGTTAAATGAATTGTAAGTTTAGTGAGTACATTATCAATATGATGTTATATTAATGTTAATTATTGATGATTGATGAAAGGTTACTTACATTTTTTTTCTTAATGTTCTAAAATTATTTGGGGCCCCTGTCAGTCACGGGCCCTTAGAATCATCCTAACTTTTTACCCCCTTACGGCGCCCCTGACGGGAACATTGCAAAAAACAAAGATTAAATGGGCCCTAGCCTGTTTAGCCCCACGGACCCGCCGAAGGGGCCGAAACCACAACATCTGCAAGCAACAGTGTCTGAGGGCTTCTTAAGATTGAATAAACTATGAATGTTTCATATCCATGTAACGGGAAGAAACTCAGCTAACTGATGATATGAACCATTTTTAGCATAAGAAAACACAAGACTAACACTGAGCCTCTGAATTAGCCCTGAGCGAAAAAATGCTAACGCCGTTAGCACAGAACTCACGGTATAAAACCCATATTACTTATCGTAAATGCACATCCAACCCATCGATTAGCATCGTGAGATTACACAGATTCGATAGGTATCTGTATCATCACTCCATGATCAAAACTCGCAACATGAGAAACAAAAACAGACATCACAACACATGGTATTAGGTAGCCAACACGGCAATATGTCTTACCTTGGTCGTTGTCTGATAAAAAGTTGTCTTCAATGGCATTACACCGATAAAAACGCTGCTGAAGGTTAATCCATAGGTTAATCCAATGTGTCTGTGTCCCTTTGAAATGATTTCTGATAATCCATCAACAATAAACCGTTTTAAGTTTTCAGATTTCAGATTTCAGAGCGCATAGCTCTCATTTTGCAATGGTAACGTTGATGTGTATGTGGAAATTCCCCTTCGATTCTATTGGCTCTAACGGTTCAAAAGAGATGTCAATCATCAAAATCGACCAATGGGTTCCAGAGAAACGGCAAATACGCCCATTTCCACCCAAATGCCCTCAGAGGTGGAGTTTATTTTTGCTAAACCTCTCTAAAAAGGTCAAATGTCACTTGTTTTGCATCAATCTTGATACAGGGTACTTATTATATGTTGTACTTTGGATTCCTAAAGCTTTTAGTCTACCTTACCATCATCCAAGGGTAGTTTTCACTATAAGTAAAAAAGAATTTTTGGACGGACAATATAATTTACATTTTTTTACTATGTTCAATCTGAATTTTCATTAAAAATAAAAAACATATTGATTCTGACTTTTCTATATCCAACTCACAGGTTTATCATTACTTTGAGAAAAAAGATTATTAATTTTCCCCTTTTAAAGTTATGGTCATTTGTTCTGGAAATGTCATTTTCGAGCCTGAGACCTGAAAAACAGGCTTGGGGTTTAACAGGCTAGTATGCAAATGCTCAGGTTCATATTTGTATTTTGTGCCTGTTTACATGATTTAATATAATTTAATCTAAATTAATCATGTGCTGCAGCACCTCTTTTCACCCTCTGTCTGAAACCAGAGCCCAGTCTGCTCTGATTGGTTAGCTGGCCAGATCTGTTGTGATTCAACACTCACGTACAATGTGTTGGAGAGCTGGCCAATAGAAACATGAGTGTCACATATGATGTCTCTATGTTAGGTTGTAAACAAGGAACTACAATCGAGGTGTTTCAGGCAGGTTAGGAAAGAAACTCCCTCTGGAGGGAACTTTTGGAGCCTTTGCAGACCATTTACATGTTCAAAAACCTATAACACGATACAGGAAAGGGAACACCCCAAAAAGCATAATAGGGCCACTTTAAGGCTTGTCTTGTAATCACATTTATATTCAAGAGCACCCACACCAACCATTTTCCATTGAAACAGATTGCAGATCTTTAATTATAGACACACTTACAGATGGTCTTCTTTGTCAGATCGACGACCTGAGGATGAAGGTTCAGGATCTGAAGGGGAAGTTTAAGAAGCCGGCCCTGAAGAGGGTGCGGATGTCGGCCGATGACATGCTGGCCGCTCTGCTAGGCTCCAAACACAAAGTGTCCTTGGACCTGAGAGCCAACCTGAAGCAGGTCAAGAAGGAGGTGAAAGAGGAGGTGGGTGCTTCAGATTTTGTATTAAACACTAAAGGAAAACTCAGAGGATTACATTTTCATAGTACAGTAGTTCTTAGGTTCCATCTCTAAAATCAAACTGTGGCATAAATATACAACAACAAACAAAGAAAGAAAAAAATACATTAAAAGGGTTTTGAATAATTTATTCCAAGGGATTTTAATCTCTATTTCTCTTACTTTGCAGGAGAAGGAAACAGGAGATTGGAGGAAGAACATCGAAGACAAGGCCGGGATGGGCGGCAGGAAGAAAATGTTCGAAGGAGAGGTTTAAACCCTATGTGTTGTTTTTCTGTCGACAAGGGTTTTTAATTTCTGTATATTATGTTGTGACAATGTGTATAAAATATAGAATAAATAAATAATGTAATGCTTTGTGTTTCATGGCAATAATTTGATATATCATGAAAGAAAAATAGGTTGCTACAGAACAAATATTGTAAATGCTAAAATCAAGATTAACGCATTTCATAGGCTCTGGCAACATTGACTCAATGAAAGTCATGCAATTACTGTAAGTGTACAAATAATAGAGTTTTTGGTTTTATACTGATTTTAAAAAGGCTATAAAAGCTTATTATTACTATTACTTTGCTTAATAGAAAAGAGAAACAAATATTTGTGTGCAAACCTCAACATAAGTCCTGCTCTAATTTGTATTGACGTGTTTTGGACATGGAATTAAAAGATATACGTTTTTAAACTTAGACAATATCTGTAAAATACACTAAAAATGTGTCTGATTGTGCAAGGATAGATTGCCCCATAGAGCACTAACCATGTCGTTTTTAAACGTGTTCAGTATAGTCATTCCAATACAATTTACCACATTTTTAAATTACGCCCTTGGAATTTAAACAGTTATGTAGTCATCAACCTTATCGGAGCTACATGAAACATTGATACTATATTTTATTGCGTAAAATAAAAATAAAACGGTAACATAACATAAAACCATAAAACACATAAAGTAAGCAATACATATCAATTCACATATTTTAACTAAACTCATTGTTTTTAGTGTGGAAATGTTGTCCTTATCAATAAAGTTTTAGGGAAGAAGGTTTTTTTCGGTCACGTGATGTGACGTCATGAGTAGGTCCTGTGCTGGTCCTGTGATACGCTGGTGGAAGTAAAGGGAATCAAACCATCAGCTACAACAGCAGGCTGAGTTTATTAACAATAAAAGACTATTATCTGTAAATTACCGTGTGAAGGACCGAGACAAGGCGCTTCAGGTCGCGCTGCTGGCCGCTGAAACCCCCACAAAGAAACAACGATGACGGCGGCGGTGTTTTTCGGCTGCACCTTTATTGCCTTCGGCCCGGCCATCGCTCTGTTCCTGTTTACCATCGCCCGGGATCCGCTGAGGGTCATTTTCCTCATAGCCGGGTGAGAGTTAATCTATATTCTTTGAGGCTAAGGTGAAAGTTACCTTATCTTGAGAAAGCAGCGTATAACTGCCGTGTTTAACGCTGATACCCCAGTATTTACCAGTGTAAGTTAGCTTGCTAGCTAACCGCTTCCTTAGCTAGCTGCTACTAATAGCTTCCATTTTGGGACTTTGTCTTGATAGTTTATTTCTTATTACACAAACTTTAAAGAACATACTCTCCAGACAAATATGCAATGGGAAGATACATATTTAGTTTTAGAGTCCATTTCCTCTTCTCTTTTTGTATGTTGAGCATTACTTGTGACAATTTTATTTTGAATCAAGCTAGCAGCTATTCACCACTTGTTGTAATTACAATCAGTGCAGGATGATGAGTACACGCCGGGCCACAGTTATGGCAATCTGCAAGTTGTGACAAGTTAAATTGCTAAAACATTTTCTTATTCTTTTGAAGCCCTGTGGTCAAAAAGGGGAACATTGACTTGCTGCTCCATGGTTTAAACTTTAAGAATGTAGCCAATCACAGCCCTCTTTATTTTTCAAAATGAGCCCCGTTAAAATTGTATTTTACATTTTTACAATTAGCAATGAAAAACTTTTAAAAAAAAATAGTTTTCTTGATGTTGACACCAAAATGTGTAAAAGTCAGTAAGTAAAATGTATTTATCAAATCAGACTTAAAGGTGGGGTAGGTAAGTTTGAGAAACCGGCTCGAGATACACTTGTTGTTATATTCCATGGAATGCTCTTAACATCCCGATAGCAATGAATATCTGAAGTGCTTTGACAACAAATACATGGCAAATGTTTCACCTGTGGAAGCCGTAGTACTGTAAAAAGCAAGACCAATCATTTTAGCCGGCCCAGCTAAAATAACTGGGTGGCCTACCTGCCTGTCAGCCTTCCATCTGTGCACACACTTATCTCGTGTCTTTGGATTTGCAGGGGGATTTTCCACAATTTTCAGCCATTATAAAATCAACCGATTTAATTCATTATTTCTACAAATGATTGGTAATGTAAATACATTTGAGCTGCAGCCCAACATGAAAGTATCACATTTTCACATGACTACAGTTGGTCTGCTTTCACAGGTTTTAGATGTGATTAACTCAGTGCTCAGTATTAACGTAGTAAAGGACATTTTGGCCTATTTTTTATACCTGACCCTCAGGCCAGGTCTTGTGCCAAATATGGCCCTTTGTTGAAATATGAACACCCTGTTGGAATAGCTTACTTTCAACCAATTTTTTAGACTGTAAAGCCGGGTGTGACTACTAAGAATTGATGGTAGGTCAATAAGGATATTAGTTATTTAACTGAAATCATACTAAAGATTACTTTTAGGAATCCTCTCGGGTGTCACACTGGCCTGTTTCTGAGCCTCTTTTCATTTAACTGATTGTGTATCTGTTTATTTCTCATCAGAGCGTTTTTCTGGCTGGTGTCCCTTCTGCTGGCCTCTCTGGTCTGGTTCATCTCGGTTCAGATCAGTAATAAGGAGAGCGCGGCGCAGCAGAAAGGGCTCCTCATCTTTGGAGTGGTGCTGTCCGTCCTGCTGCAGGAAACCTTCCGCTTCGCCTACTACAAGCTGCTGAAGTAAGTCGCTGCTACAACACTGTCTGACGCTTTTACAGACGCCTCATCCTCAACACAGTCTCTGTTCTCACACTCAATCTGAGGAAATTCGGTGGGAATCATCTGATCCTGAGCTTTTTAACACCATTAGAGTTCTTACAGATTCTTTGTAGTGGAGTTATATTTTCTGGCATGAATTCACATTTATTGAATTTTAATATAATCAGTCAGCAGGGGATTTGTACTGCTTGTAGATGCCTATAAAGTCTTGACATGACTTGGTAGAAATCTGATGTAAAATAAAGACTTTTACAGAAGTTTGACATTACTGAAGGAGGGAGGGGAGTGTACACATAATCCCGAGGACAGTAACTAGTAGATCCGCTATATACTATACACTAAGTGTATATTTAATACACTTTTTGTTTCACTGCTTTTGCGATTTTATACAAGAAATTGTTGGTCATTTCTACTTCAATATCTACCTCATTTTCCATGAACAGTACATTTAAAATATATTTAAATGTGATCACAATGACCTTTTTGAATTTAATTTCATCACACAGATTTAGATGTAGCATGGAATCAGAACAAAGCAAATGTTAATAACATCAGCAGCCACTAGAGGGCACTACAGTGTAATACTCTTTGAACTATTCTGCATTGAAATGAATGCCAGCGCTTCCTTTACCCAGTCCAGAGCCCTATAATAGGCTCTGACCCAGTCCATGCTTTTATGAACAGAACTAACACAGAGAAAGTGATTCTGAAACAAGTACTTAGTGTTTATAATGCTCTACTGCGTAATACTGAGGGAGAATAATACACTACTTTGCTTTTGCTAGTTTAAACAACAGATCACATTCACAAGAATATATCATCAGTGTTAATGTGCTAGTGCATCTTCAAAGGGCCACACATGAACGTCTTACTCTTGGTTATTTCCATAAGCCATCCGTTTGTTTTTCATGATAGTTTTATCTTCAGTGTGCCATGACAGTTAACATGCAGAGACACTTTCTCATATTTATGACTTTCATAATATAGCATTATCTAAACCTTCACAAACTAATGAGCTAATCAAAATGTTTGACATGACAGTTAACATGCAGAGACTTGAACAAGTTATTTTAACAACCAGATGAAAAACAGCGTTGGTTAATATTTTTGTCACAGTTGCAGACAGTCTTTTAAAAACAATCTCCACTTGTTACCATGCATGCACTTTTATCGTTATTTATTTTAGGTATTTTGTTGCATCTATGACTACTATTTTTAATAATCTGACTTTTATCCTCAATTAATTGATCAAATGTTTGTTTTATGAAATGTTTGTTTTTCTGAAATGTCACAATTTCCCAGAACCAAAAGGCTATTTCATCAAATGTCTTTTTTACTACTACAGTCCAAAATCAAAATATATTCACTTCATTCCCATCAAAAATAAAAACAAACCACAAATATTCACATCTGAGAGTATAGTACATGTTTGCTTTACATAAACTTTAAATAGTTGCAAATACTTTAAAAGAGGCTGAATGATGTAATTAAAACCAACATTCACCAACTTTCATTCTGTTAGGAAATGATAGAAACCAGTGGTAAAATACTTTACTACTATACTTTACAAATATTTTACTAAATTTGAGAAGAACATGCATAAATCTTCGCTGCAAAGCTGTATGTTTAATTGTGTAGTGGAATTATTTATGGGAAGAAGTCATAAAAATAAGGCCTTTTCCTTTTTTTAATACCACACATATTTTTGGCGTTTTTGAGGTAAACACTGAAGCTCAAGTGGAGTTTGTGTCAGCTCCAAAAGATGACGTACACAATGTCAAGAGACATTTTGTGGAAAAAACCAAAAGCTGACTTTTTGACTCTGTTATAATCATCATCTCACACCCTGACTCCCAGCTGTATCCCCTGTTGTGTTTTCATTTTCTATTAAAGGTTCATTGTTGCAGGCCGTATCGTCTTCCTCTGTCTGACATACATATTTCTGACTGATGACCTTGTTTACAGCTCACAGTGAAGAATGGGAGCTTTAGGCTCATGTGTGTGTTTGTGTGTGTGTTCTCTTTCAGGAAAGCAAATGAAGGCCTCCTCACTCTCAGCCAGGAGGAAACCATGCCCATCTCCATACGGCAGCTGGCCTATGGTACAGTTAGTCTGCACTTCACATCACCTGCTAATACTCTTATTCTTTACTTTTATGTCTAAAGAATAATGATATCTCAAACTCTGTTGCTTCTTTTAGCCATTCTTTTTAAATCCGGTGTATATGATACATCAAAAATGCTCATATCGTCCATTTCTGTGGAATAAACCACTCCTCTTGTCGTCCTGGTTACCTCAGTGTCCGGCCTGGGCTTCGGCTTCATGAGCGGAGCGTTCTCC